CTTATGGTTTGAGTCTTGGCTCTGAATTCTAGCCAGAACTCAAGTACTGAGGTTGCTGAACCTAGGTCCAGCCTGACTTCACCGATCAGACACCTGGTGCCGTTCCCACTGAAAATAGAACTACCATATGATACAGGAATTCCACTTCTGGGGATTTATTTGGGGTGGGGGGAAAAAAGAAAACACTAATTTGAAACAATATATGCGTCCCATATTCACTGCAGTGTTATTTATTATAGCCAAGAGAATGTAACAACCCACGTGTCCACTGATGGATAAATGCATAAAGAAATGTGGTTTGTATAAAATGGAATATTATTCATCCATAAAAAAGTGTCTATTGATGGATTTATAGGTAAAGATGTGGTACACACACACACACACACACACACAGAAATATTATTCATCAACAGAATGAAATCTTGCCATTTGCAACAGCATGGATGGACCTAGAGGGCATTGTGCTAAGTGAAATAAGCCAGACAGAGAAAGCCAAATACCATATGGATTCACTTATATGTGGAATCTTAAATTTTTTAAAATGCTCATAAATACTGAAAACATATTGGTGGTTGCCAGAGGCAGCTGGGGGTGGGAAATAAGAAATGGGTAAACTTTTTTTTTTTTTAGTTTAAATACACTGAAAAAAACAAATAAAAAAAACACTTGGAGATAAAAAGGCCAAGGGCTACCAGCCAGTTTGGCTCAGTGGTTAGAGCGTCGGCCTGTGGACTGAAGGGTCCTGGGTTAGATTCCAGCCAAGGGCACGTACCTGGGGTGCAGGCTCGATCCCTGGCCCTGGTCGGGGCACCTGTGGGAGGCAGCCCTCGACGTGTCTCTCACATCGAGGCCTCTCTCTGGAACGCAGTCGGGGAAGCACCCTCAGGTGAGGACTAGGCAGGCCCAAGGCTGGAGCAGGGTGCAAGAGCAGGGAGGGAGCCCTGCTGCCAAAGTGTGCAGGTTAGAATAAAGGTGTTTGCAGGCAGAAAGAGTGCAGTGGGGTGGGGTGGGGTGCAGGGAGGGAAGGCAGGAAGCTGACTGATTTTATAAATGGCAGATATGCACTAAAGAAGAGATGTTCTAACAAACAAAATGAACTGACAAACAAAATAGGTCCAGACACATGGAGACATGGAACAGAGTGACGGATCTCAGAGGGGACGGAGAGAGATTAACCAAAGAACATACGTGCGCATATGCAGAGGCCAAGAACACAGGCAACAGTGCGGCGAGGGCTGGGGCAGAGGGAGAAAAATGGAGAAACCTGTAATAGTGTCAACAGTAAAGAAAGAAAAGGAAAAAAGAAAAGGGCTGAAAGAAACTTTTTAAAAACAGATGCTCTTCAGCTAGAATGAAAGCAGTCTCAAGGATTTATGACAATGAAAAGCTCCTGAAATGGAAAATGTGTCAAATTTACCTCAATAAAAAAGAAATGGAGCCCGGCCAGCGCGGCTCAGCGGCTGAGTGTCGACCTGGGAGCCAGGCGATCGGGGTTCGACTCCCGGTCAGGGGATAGGCCCGGGGTGCGGGCTTGACCCCCAGCGGGGGGGGTGCAGGAGGCAGCTGGGCAGTGACTCTCATCATTGATGCTTCTCTCTCTCTCCCCTCCCTGAAATCAATAAAGATATATAAAAAATAAAAAGAAATGGTAAATATGTAAATATATCTAAAAGAACATTAATTATATAAAACAATTATATGCACATTTGTTAAGAGTTAAAATATAATGACACAGCCCGGCCGGCGTGGCTCAGCAGTTGAGCATCGACCTATGGTCCCGGAGATGGAGGTTCAATTCCTGGTCAGGGCACATGCCCGGGCTGGGGCTTGATCCCTGGTGAGGGGCATGCAGAAGGCAGCCGATCAATGACTCTCTTATCATTGACCTATCTCTCTCCCCTTCCCTCTCTCTTAAATCAATAAAGATATATTAAAAAAAAAAAAAAGAATCTCAAAAAAAAACGACACAGAAATTACTTGACAAGAACATACAGTGGTGGGCAAAAGTACTTACAGTTGTGAGTATGCAAAACAGAGTTTATTGATGTATTATTATTTATTAATTATTGTATTATGTATTTGTACAACTGAAACCTACTTTTGCCAACCGCATATAACTCAGGATGATTAAGAGAGTCAAAGGTCCTTAAATAAAGTAGGAAATGCCAATAGTATTACTTCATTAGAGGTCAATGTATCATAGACACAAGAGGTAATCTCCAGGGTAGGCACTGAAATTTGCAGCCAATAAGCTGATGGAAAAAACAAAACCAGTTCCTTCACAGTTTAACAAAATTACTTTAAAGAGCAAAGAAGCAAGTATAAGCAGACAAAAGAGAACGCATGAGAAAGAAAGGGAAACAATTATTGAGGACATTATGCACCCTTATTTCATAAGCGACTGCCTCCTTCACGTCACACAAGTGCGCTAGATCCCGTTTCCAACATCAGTGCTGCTAACATTAACAATATTCTATTAGTTGCTAATCATATTTGAGTTTTAAAAAATTAGAAACCAAAAATGTGGTTTTAAGTATTATTTCTCTGCCTACATTTGTAAATGAGCATATTTTTAAAGTTCTATTGAGATAGAACATAAATGCTACACAATTCCCCCATTATAAGCGTACAATTCAATGGTTTTATATATTCAGAGTTGGACAGTGATATCACAATCAATTTTAGAAGATCTCATCACTCCTCAAAGAAACACCCCGTTCTCCTGGCCTACGCCTCCACCCAGCCAGAAATCTGCTTCCTGTCTCTATGGATTTGTTTATTCTGAGCATTTCATGCAAATGGTGTCGTACAGTATATGGTCCTGGCTTCTTCCATTTAGCATGTTTTCAAAGTTCACTCATGTTGTTGTGTTATCAGTGCTTCATTGCTTTTTATTGCCAAGTAATAACATTCCATTGTATTGATATGCCACATGCCTTGATCCATTTAATGAGTCGATAGACATTTGGGTTGTTTCTACTTTTAGGCTGTTATGAATAATAATTTGCATAGTTTCTGTATAGACATGCTTTTTCCATTTCTCTTGGCTATATACCTAAGTCTAGATTTGATAGGAAGCCTACGACGAACACTTTGAGGACCTCCCAGACTCCTTCGCACAGTGGCTACACCATTTTACATTCCCACTAGATTATGAAGATTCCCGCTGCTCCATAGCCTTGTCATCTTCTTGATTAAAGCCACCTCAGCAGGTGTAAAGTGGTATCTCGTTGTTTCGATTTGCATTTCCTTGATGGCTACTGATGTGAAGCACCTTTTGGTGTGTTTATTGGCCATTTGCATATCTTCCTTGGAGAAGTAGCTATTTAAAATCCTTTGTCCAGTTTTCAGCTGAGTTAGCTGTCTTTTCGTCACTGAGTTAAGAGTTCTACACATGGCTCTGGTCGGGTGGCTCAGTCGCTAGAGCATCGTCCCGTGTACCAAGAGGTTTCGAGTCCAGTCCCCGGTCTGGTGCGTACAGGGGGCAGCTGATTGTTGTTTCTCTCCCATCAATGTTTCTCTCCCTCTCTCCCTTCCCCTCTCTCTAAAATCAATAAAAACATATCCTTGGGTGAGGATTAAAGAAGTTCTACACACACTGGATGCGGGCTCCTTATCAGATGCATGATTTACAAGGGTCAGGTGCCACTTTAATTAAAATGTGTGTGTTAGCTTCTTTAAAGCAAGCACAAATACAAAATAACAGAACAATTCTGGTCTGCTGTAATTATTGGTGGTGGTGATGGTGACATAAGCATATGTATAGGAACAAAGGAGAGAAAAAATTATTCAGTTGTTTATTATACATGTGAAGGGATATGATTTTTCACTTTCTTCTTTGGGCTTTCCCATTTTTCCTACATTAAATGCATATTTTGTTTAATGCATAATTTAATTGCCACCACTCTTCCCTCTAAATCTCTAGCTTCCACCCACCAAAAATGAGCAAAACAAAATAGAACTGCTTGAAAAAAGTTTTACTTTCATGCCACCATGTAAAGTATTAGTGTCACAACCTCAGGAAAACTATGAGAAAGGCAAATTTAACAAATTTCATTTGAAAATATGTTCAAAATAGAGGGATTTATCTTAAGAGGGCTGCTCTGCCAAAGTTGAATAAACCAATAGGACTTCCAGTGAAATCAGTAAAATACCAAGGCAGGCCCTAGCCAGACTGGCTCAGTGGTTAGAGCATCGGCCCTTGAACTGAATGAAGGGTCCTGGGTTCGATTTTGGCAAGGGCACATGCCTTGGTTGCAGGCTCGATCCTCAGCCCTAGTTGAGGCTCGTGCGGGAGGCAACCGATTGATGTGTCTCTCTCTCACATCGATGTTTCTCTCTCTCTCTCCATACCCCCGCCCCCCCCCTTAAAAAGCAATGGAAAAAATATCCTCAGGTGAGGACCAAAAAAAAGACCAAGGCAGGATTATAATGGAAGGCAACTCAAGTCTCAGCAATCCCAGAGCCTGAAACAATTTCTGGCAAAAGGAACTTTAAAAAAAAATTGTCTTAAGTCAATTGCCTTTGGGGGGAATAAAGCAAAGTATAAATTTTTAAAGAGGAAATAAATCAGAAGAGAAAAAATGTTATTTTGATTATTGCTTGCAAGCCACCGTGGAGCCCACAGCAGCACTGAAGGGTGGCCTCAGAAGGGGCTCAGCAAGCTGGCAGGTACTTCTGAAGTCAGCTTTCCCTCTCTGCAAAATTTAATGGATGTTATTGAAGATTTAAAACATTATGATAAATTCTGTTTCTGCTAATTCTTTCTGTATAATTCTCGAGAAAATTTTTTCCACAGTAAACATTTCACTCTATTTTAAAACATCATTGTGTGAAAGGGTTCCTTCCTGCCTCCTAATTACATGTCAGCACCTACATTTATAACTTGAAGCAAGTTCACACATTTTTTTCCTTCTACCCTGTTTTCCCAAAATACCTCTGACAGATACCAATCTTTGATTTTCCTTGTGTTCAAAAGCTACTAGGCATCCACTACTCACCTGCCTGAGATAGAGAAAAAAACTTGAATACTGTCCAGCTTCAGGAAGGTAGGAAAGAAACACGGTGATGCAGATTAGTAACACGGTAGAATCTTTTCCAACTTTCTTCAGTGACTAGGAAAAAGCAGAAAGAGATAAAGGAACATACAGCTTGGGAAGAGTCGATAATATTCTAACAACTGTGCACGGTGTCAGATGGGGCAGAGATTTATCAGGACGGTCACTTAGTTCTATAATCAGGGGGTGTACACCTGACACTAATATAATATTGTATGACAACTGTAATTGAAAACTAAAAAGAAGCAAATAGAAACTAATGTCATTGCTATTCTGCGACACTGCCTTCACTGCTACCATCTATTAAGGCAGGTAACAGTTGAAGGGATTAACATTAAATCTATCACCATCTCTCTGTGGACGTTACAAATCGAAATCTCAGAAGTATGTGCCTCAAATATTATGCGTAGTGCGTACAGACACACACGTTTGCCCATCTTTACTTAACAATACTAGTTCACATCCTGACACAGACCCTGAACATCCTAAAAAACATACTGGAAACATGTTACTCCAGGACCTTTTAAGAAAAATTCATCTCTCTTTTTCATTCATAATATAACTTTAAAGCCACAGAAAGGATAGGCATTTCATTACACATAAATTCACTCTATTCTTTAAAATGTTAGTATTCAATTTGCCAGCAACCAGGTCGACAAAGTAGGTGGGAGGCCTGACCGAATCCCGGGTATATGCCCGGTTTCCTACTTTCTCCAGATGGCACAAATGGATGGGGCAGAAATAGTATGGGCCGGGTCCCCAGGCCATGCCCCACAAGGGCTTTCTGCAAAAGAACTTCTCACGAGTTAGTTTTCTTATTACACATATTTTCCTAAAAGGTAAGCTTGGGAGAGAAAAAGCAAGTATCAAATCCCTGGTTAATGTTTTTCTGCACATATTTTCTTCAAGAACAATTTCAAACCAAGAGGGGGAGCTAAGCCTCTTCTCCTAAGTACTTTTTTGAGTTGTTAATGGGACTATCCCATGCCAAAAATAAAAATAAAAAATTACAGAAAACAAAGAATCCATTCAATCTGCAAAATACAAGTTCAAAGCCTAAATTCAAGGTCTAAATGGATATATTTCAACAACTGAGAAAGTAAGTACTTTAGTCAGAACAAACACTTCCATTCTTTTTAACTTAGTGAATGAGAACTACTTCAAACAACCACCTCCATTTGTTTTGTTAAAAAAGAAACGAAAACCACCACTCAAAAAGCGAAAAATTCTTTCCCTCATCAAGAATTAACTGGACATGTTTCCTCTCTCCTGTTGTGACAGCTACATCACGACTTAAGAAATATCAACTCTATATATTCCTTGGTACACAGTCTACCTCAGTCCCTTCCTTGCAATTAATTTCTTTCTATTTTTACTGGAGACAGGAATGGGATGAACAACTGCTGGGATGCCTGAGGTTGCAAAAATGTTCTTTTATTTGCATGGTTTGGAAAGATACTTAGAAAAGTAAATGTTTTCATATTTTTATTTACCGCAAAAGGGTCTGCTTGTTTCCAAGAAATCTGAGCTCCCCAGGAGAGTGGTCTCATTTTCTCTGAGAAAGATTCTGGAACAGCCAATAAGATGAAGCAGATGTCCAGAAGAGCCACCACTGTGGCCACTTGCACAACGAGGCTGTCTCCATATCTGGCTGAGAGGTATGCTCCAATGGCCGGGCTGCTGACCAGACTGGCTGCAAAGGTGGCTGAGACCTGTGGAAAAAGCACTCTCTCACTCAGCGTCCCACCTGCAGTAGTTTTAAACAAGACAAAGGAATGTGTTGCACATAAATTTTAAGAAAGAAAGAGTATTAAAGTCATTTTAAGAATTTTTTCACCTACTATTAACTAATTGGAGATATCCTGGAAAGCTACAAGAATTAAAAAAAAAATTATTAAAAATAAAAATTGTGACCCTGGCCAATGTGGCTCAGTGGGTGGGAGCATCATCCTGTACACCAAAGATTGTGGGTTTGATCCCTGGTCAGGGCGCATGCAGGAGGCAACCGATTGATGTTTCTCTCCCACATTGATGTCTCCCTCCCTCTTCCCCCCTTCCCCTCTCCCTAATATCAATGAAAAAAATATCCTTGGGTGAGGATTGAAAAAAAAATTGTGAAAACCTTCCTCATAAATAAAACATACATGCTTTAGTTTTCTTTGAGAAATAGGGCTGTGGGCAGAAAGGTATAAAAAAAATGCCTACAGAGTTTATGATAAAAATCTACAAATTACTCAGGGACTGTGCTTGATTTTATCTCTCAGAAATAGGCACTGTTTGAGCTTCCGGTCAACATGGCAGAGTAGGAAAACGCTGTCCTTGCCTCTTCCCACGACCACATAAAAATTACAACTAAATTACAAAACAATCACCATTGAGGACCTCCTAAAGATTAGCTAAACAGAAGTCCAATACCTAAGGATATAGAGAAGAACCCACATTGAGTCTGGTAAGAGGGGCAGAGGAGCAGATTGGGCTGGCCCCACACCCACACGTGACAGTTAAAATCAGGAGGGTATCTCAGCTGCAGCGGCCCCTCAGAGGGGCAAGGGGTCACAGCCCCTAACCAGGCCCCCAGCTCAGGTTCCAGTGCTATGAAAACCAGCAGGAATTGTGACTGAGTGAGATGGAGGACTGCTGGAGTCCAAGATGTTCCTCTTCAAAGGCCAGGCATGAACTTACTCACTGACTGACTCCCTCTCTGAGCTCAAGTGCTGAGGTAGCAGCATGAAAGGCTCCGGAAATGTACAGGGAGGAACTAAACTGTTGGTGATCAGGGCGAGGGCTATAGGGGCAGCTTTCTCCCAGGCAAAAGTGCTGGCAGAGACCATTATTCCTTTGCTGAGCTCTCTCCCTCCAGATGAAGGTGGGCCCCATGTTTGAGTCTCCATCAACCTGGCTCACACTGTTCACCCAGCCCTGGTGATTCCCTGAGACTTGCCCCACCCAACTTGCAGGATCACCCAAGCCAATTCCAGTGCTGTTTCCATACAACTGGCCTAACTAGGCTTATGCTGCAGACTTTCCTAAATTCTGTCAAAGGTTCACAAACCTCAAACACACAGCATCTGGCCTCAGCATGCCCTGTACTTCCTGCTAAGAGGCCCCAGGCCCAGCATTAGCAGCAGTGGCCTCAGTTCACACCTTGGCCTCTCCCTGGCACCTCCAAGCCCAGCACAAGTGGCAACCATCTGGAAAACACTTTGTAGCTCATGCTGGGTACGGTGCAGGCAGCAGCTGACATTGGCCTGCACCTACCAGGAGGCCACAGAGTCAGCTCACCCAGGGGACAGCTTCAGACCACACCAAAGCATAACCCAAAAATCTCCACGAGTGACACACTCAAGGGGTAAACTCAGCAGGCATCAGAGCCCCACTGAAGTGAATCTTGCTCCATTGGGTCAGCCCCTGCCCAGCATATCCTCTATGATGGTTGTGGCCAGTCCTCGCAGCCGATCAGAATGGGGGTAAAATCCCTCCTACTGACGTGCCAACAGCAATCAAAGATCGACTACAACAGGAAAAATAAAGATAGAAAACAAAAAAGAACCAGCCAGAAATAAAGAGTACAATAACTGAAAAGAATACACTAATTAAAATGAAGAATGCATTCCAGGGGGAGGCAAGATGGCTACAGAATAGCTGGAGGCTGAGTGCCTTTGCTCCCAGCCATGGACAAGATCTACAGCTAAAATACTGAGGAATCGACCTGAAGAACTGAGAGAAGTGTAACTAATTGGACATATTATATCCAAGGAGCACTGAAGAAGCAATGTAGAGACTGTAAGAGGAGGGGAGTCACAGAGAGGGGGAGTCCCCCTGAAGCAGGTGCTCGGCTGAGAGGTTGAGTGATATTGGATACAAAGCTCCCTCCCCTTGGGAGTGTGAGGTCTCAACCCCACACAGGGGTCCCAAACCTAGAGCAGCAGGTACTGGAAGAAGAGCCTGTGAAGCACCTGCCAGAGGGATGCTGGGCCCATCCCTTCCCAGGGAAGGAGCGCTCCTATTGCTAGCAGCCCACCCTAAGAAGTTCGCTCAGGATCTGACTGGTGGAAAGGTTGTGCTGTGCAGTGTTTGGGTTCATTGGAGGGGTCTGTGGGCTGTACCCAGAAGTGACTTTGAGGGACCCTCTATTTTCATGAAAGGCACTGTGCAGAGCCCCAGTTAGTGACTGAACTGGTTGACTTGGGGAAAGGGGAAGGGAATCTCCCACCTCCAGTGTGGGGTTGGAACCCCTCCCCTGACCTGTAGAACCTCTTAGAATGCTAATCCTGTGGGGTTAGTGGCAAAGAGGAGCAGGGCAGGCCTGGGAGTTTTGGCCCACACTGCAGAGTTGGGAGCACGAGTGCAGCTGGGAATTTCAGCCCCCACTCTGCTGAGACCAGCCACGTGGAGAGATCGGACTCCTGTAAGGGGCTGATTTTCTAACCGCTCCTGCTTGGACCTGTGGCGTGAGGGCACTGGTTCCACGCAGAGCCGGAAATTTTGGACTGTATTCCCTGGAAAGGCTTCTATGGGGAGACAGACGAGCAAGTGCTGGGCTCAGTGACGGCATGGTGGGGAACCTTCTACTGGGGAGATAGATGGGCGAGTGCTAGGCTCTGTGACTGCATGGTGGGGAGGCTGATCCAAATTCCCTGTGAGTTAGCCAGGCAGCCCCAGGAAGGAGAGGTAGAGCCCTCCTACAGGCTGTGAACACCACCCACAACAGGTTCAGCTCTGTGAAGTCCTGGATACCCCTACTGGGGCAGTTCTGTGGGGGATGAAAGAGTGGCTCAGAGAAGGACATTACAAGTGTGAGACCCTCAGAGGATGGAACCAGGAGGAAGTGCTTAGCCCCCTCCTGCAGGCTGGGCCAGCAACATTCTAATCTGGAGATTCTTTTGATCTATCCCTCTGAGCAAGCCCCCTAGGGGGAACTAGAGTTGGATATCTGATAGAGACTGAAGAGTATGGCTTTGAAGTAGAGACTAATTTGCCTTCATTGAGTACCTGACTGCATAACCTCTAAGCAGGGGAGCAACTTGCCTGAGCTAGGCTAACCTGGGTTGACCCTAAAGACTCTCCTCAGAAGGCACTGGAGGAAGATTAGGCAACCTTGGGGGGGGCGGAGGAGCTGACAGGTGGAGGTGGGCCTCAGGGAGCCTCACACCAACCACAGATCTGCACATAGCTCTAAGCTAAAAGAAGCCCACCCATTTACACAGATTGGTCTTTCTCATGAACACAGGTCTAAAAGACTCAGACACAAACACTGATCGGCGTTAATTACACACAGGTAGCCCAAGGCCAGTTACAAATGTCTGACAGTGACCTGCATCTGAAATCCACTAGAGGAGTTTGACCTAATTAGACACACAAACAGCACACCCAAAGGTGTATCCAGGAACAACCCCACCTGGTAGGTGAACCCCTTCACAGACACCCAGTCTGTAGGGTTAACGATTGTGCCACTGAGCCCATGAAGACAACTCGAGACTGCACCTGCACAGCAGTTTGCACACCATGGTCGGGATTGAGCCTCATAGTGAACAAGCCTGAGGGTTGACCCCAACCACAAAAGAACCATCGTCAATCAAGACCCAATTACAACAGGAGAGTCCAAACAACCCACAAAAGAGACATTCCTAGAACACCTAGCTCAGGAGATCAAGGAGACTGCACCACTGGGAGCCAGAGGACACCTACAACAGGTCACCCCACCAAGACGAGAGGTCACAGCAGTCCTTTCTAAAACATGAAAGCAAACTCAAAGAGACAGCCAAAATGGGGAGACAAAGAAAAAGGCCTAAAATGAAAGACAGGAGGACACGCCAGAAAAAGAGCTAAATGGAACAGAAGGGAAGCAATATGTCAGATAGAGAATTCAAAGTAGTGGTTATAAGGATGCTCAAGAAACTTAGTGAGAACAACAACAGCATCAAGGATATAGAAAACATGAAAAATGATCAGCTGGAGAGGAAGAATGTCATATCTGAAATACAGAATACACTGGAAGGAATAGCTAGTAGGCTGGACGAGGTTGAGGACTGAATCCGTGAATTAGAAGACAAAATAGAAAACATTAAATCAGAACAGAAAAAAGAGAAAATAATTAAAAAGAAAGAGGATAGTTTAAAGGAACATTGGGTCAACATGAAATATAACAAAATATGCATCATAGGAATACCAGAAGAAGAAGAAAGTGAACAAGGGATAGAGAGCCTGTTTGAAGAAATAATGACATAAAACTTACCCAGCCTGGTGAAGGAAAATGTAATATAAGTTCAGGAAGCACAGAGTCTCAATCAAGATAAACACAAAGAGACCCACACCCAGGCACATCATAATTAAAGTGGCCAAAATTAAACACAAAGAGAGATTAGAATCTTAAAGGCAGCTAGAGAGAAACAGTTACCTATAAGGGAGTTCCCATAAGGCTATTAGTTGATTTCTCAAAACAAGCACTTCAGGCCAGAGGAATGACATCAAGTATTGAAAGTAATGAAAAGCAAGAACCTGCAACCAAATATACTCTATCCAGCAGGGCTATCATTTAAAATCAGAGGTGAAATAAAAAGCTTCCCAGACAAAAGACTAAAGGGCACTGCAAGAAATGCTAAAGGAACTGCTTTAAGAAAAAAGAGAGCCCTGGCCGATTTGACTCAGTGGTTAGTGTTGGCCTGTGTACTGAAGGGTCCCAGGTTCGATTCTGGCCAAGGGCACATACCTT